AACAGTTATTTAAAAGAACAGATCCCGTCGGCTCCGCCTGATCATTATCAAACACTGTTGCATGGGAGCCAAACAGACTCAAAAACTATTTGATACCTTTTTGCTCAATTTTGGAAGCAGACTATCTACATAGTGAAGAGAGTTAATAACCATTCAACTGAAAAGCCAACTCTTCAACTCGACCTACATGTGTTTTATCAGATTCCGGTTCTATTGCTGCGGATCTCCGGAATCAAGTATCAACATTCCCGATTCCATAGGCAAAATTTTGABGGATTCCTGGTGTCATAGAGTCCAACTTGGCTATTTTTTCAGTCGACAAAATACCTTTTTAACTCGAAGATTGCGAATCAATCGAAGAGTTGTATTTGAAAGGGGGACGAATCTGTCAATCACTAAGTCACTCACTCACTCACTTTCCTGTAAATTTGAGCCAGCGTTGCTTGTGTTCAGAAATATTAATTTGTCCTAATTGTTTTCTAGTAATTTATTCACWAATTYTACGTTAYCGRGTTCCCTGTGCTATATTTGATTGAATTTTATTATTTTTTGACAAATAATTAGAACGTATTCGCATAACCCACTTTTTAAATGCTAATGAGTTTTCGTAATATTCTAATGAGATTGGAACAAGAAACAAAAGAGCAAAAACATGCTTGAGTGATTTCAAAATATTACTATTTTGAGCTCAGTTCAATAAATACACAATTTCAAACGGAAACATTTTTATGATTAAAGTTAACCAATTTCAACAGTTATTGGCTACAAGATTGAAAATTCCTTGTTAATGCCAACAGATCGTTTCTTTTAAGCGGTTCATAATGTTAATTTAAATTGTTTTAAATAAATTGGGCGCATGGGAAGAATTATAAAACAAGCATTGCAGACTTCCACAACCCGTCGATACCAGAATCAAAACCGATTCTGGACAATGAGTGAACAATGAGGTCCATTTCAGACGTCGATCTTTTGCCACGTCTAATCTAATTACTTGCATGTAGTTTACGAGAAGTTGAGATAGCTGTATAGCTTAAATAAAAATGTTTCTTTTTGAAATTTTGCATTTATTGAACTGAGCTCAAAATAGTTTTGAAATAATATTCGCTACTGAAATCGCTCAAGCATGTTTTTGCTCTTTTTTTTCTTGTGCCAATCTCATTAGAATATTAGCAAACTCATTAGCATTTAAAAAGTGGGTTATGCGAATACGTTCTWATWATTAAAAGAAATATTACCTTATCTCGGATTCGAATCTGAGACCATAGCGTCGGAAATCCAAGTCACTACCACTAGACTTGTGATTCATAAACCATTTTCTTAAAACTCTATTTGTAAAGTAATTGTCACGAGTTTACAAAATAACACACGGACCATTCGCTCTTGTACACTTTACTTCAACTGAACCCTGAGATTACAATTCTTGAATATTTATACATGTGTATAGTGTTTACATTACATCCCAAGGGATGCATYACATACTATACGTTAGAGTAATTATAATTTGATTCATCGTATCATACTCGTCTACACAATCAATCTTCTAGTTGTGTTGCCATTGGCGGCTTGATTCACGTTCGTACTTTCTCTAGTACAAATACCTTTCCAAAAATAAAGGAAAGCACGAAAAAATGTCGTCATTACAATAGCTCTAGAAATGTTTGTCCGTCTAGTTCGCAAGTGAATCTGTGTCGCTCGCATTGAACGGGAAAAGGCTTWATTGTTACATTAAATTTTTGCAGTCTTCGAAGTTAGTTATAATAGAGTGCTCGCACTAAATGTGTGAAATATAAACACTACAAAATAGGTGATAAATTATACAAATTCCTTTGTTTCCTATTGTATAATCAACACTATTTAGTATAGTAATTGGTACTATTTGTTTCACGGTTTAAGTGCGAGCACTCTAACATTACATTGTTCAGTTGTTAAAACATAAAAACAAGAATGATAATGTTTTTAAATTACCGGGAAGGACTTTACTTTTACAACTTCAGATTTATTGACATTGTAATAAATTTTTGCAATTTTATGTTAAATATTTTGCAAATAATTTAAAAATATTGTATATGCAAATGACTTTGTTGTTGTCGTTTTAACTGAACAACGTTAATGTGGYTGCCTGTATGAGAAAAACGACTATTAAACATTGGATGTAAGTATAAACAGATTTATTTAATAATTCTCTTAAGACGTCTATAACATAATAATAACTTATATTGTCCGTTCGCTATTTATCAGCATCGTAGACTGATATTATATCATTTATTATTGCATCCCAATATTTTCGCTGTTTCACAAATATTTTGAAGATCAAGTTCTTCAGTTTTCTGAAAATGGAAAAGAATACCAATATATTCAGGATTCATAGTAATCTCAGCAGTTTTCCCAGTTTACAGGTAATGGATAAGGGCGAATCCAGGGAGGGGCAAATGACAATTTCTTATTAGTGAATGTGCTCTATTCTCTTTTGCTTACAATCAAACTAGTAACCCCCTTAATTCTATGTAAAGAAATGATTATTATATCCTGGTATAGGCTATAGGCTTACTACCCATTGAACCATTCCCTACCTTGTGTTTGTAAGCCGATGGATTATTTCTCCTTATCGATCTCTTGCCCGTTCCTGTTGTTGTTGGTAAAAAAGGTCCATTTAATAACGCTTGGCTATCTTRAATAAACAYCCCAAAGAGTACCAACGCCGCTACTGCGACCACGACAAGTACGCCCTTCATCTTCGCCGAATACTCGTTGTTCTCCTCTTGTCATWTTTTTATAGCCATTAAGTGAGCTACGGTTTTATTAGATTAATCATTTTGCTGCCATGTCATTAGTAAAKAACCCTAATCGYCGTGTTTATGATCTTATTAAGTTTCTGTTTTGCGGGATGATTTTTCTGAACAGCTGAAACAACGAAAGTGATGTGTGGGATATGTTTTTTGATAGCCATTCAATTGGCATAATCTAGAATTGTCATGAACAGTTACAACTTTGAAGACAGCTTTCACCGGTGTTCATTATAGCATAAGTACCTATCTCTACCATGTAATAGTTGCTGATCTATGAATGAGAGAGTAACATCTGATGAAAGGTGGAGTTTCTCGACTGTAAGACGCCCACTCTACCGAAATATGGTGCTATATAATATTAAGTACAAATAAGGACCTGCTTCGAATAAAGAATGCTATGATTACACGCAGAGTCAAGTATGTTCATCTTATCAAGTTCTGAGAAACATCTACAGCTAGATTCATGCACTTTTTCCCTCTGTTSCTAKTGAAATTGCATTCATCATTATTAAATCAGGAAGTGTTTTAGTGAAGTGACAATTCATGATTATAAAACCACTCAGGACATTGCAATTAAAGTGATATGATGGCCAGGTCATTAGTCGTAGCATTAAATATTTAAAGCACATCGAGATGAAGCAATAAATGCTCTAATCTCATAAAAACAAGCTCATTTTGATAATCTGGATAATAAGTTACTGCATCTTCCTTTGATGTTTTTACTTTGTCTTTTACCTTCCACATGAACGTTCCTTTCACCTAAAAACAACCTTGATCATCRTACTTAGTGTTAATTCAATTTAAAGTCCACCAACCCRTAGACATTGAACGAGTTTCATCACGATGATAAGTAGAGTAGGYGTTGTTTTTAATTCAACAATTAACTATTGAGTAATGTGCAGCCAAAAGTCATAGTTATTTCAGGAATTGAAAGAAGTCTCTAGTCAA